ATATTTTATAAGATTATTAAGAAGAAAAGTAAAAATTACCAGAATCCTACCATTGTAAGATAAATACTGTCATCCTTTCAGGAATTAATCTACCAATCTCTTGCTTTCCCTTCTCACACACTATTTCACATAAATGGGATCTTTTATTTTTCAGACGACAATGTGTCATGGTTATAAAATACAGATATACGTGTGTGTGTGTGTGTGTCTATCCTGAATATCTTTGTATGAAAATGACATCATTTATGTCCTAAAAACCCCGTTGCTGTCGAGTTGATTCCGACTCATAGCGACCCTGTAGGACAAGTAGTGCTGCTTAACAGGGTTTCTAAGGAGCGACTAGTGGATTTGAAATGCCGACCTTTTGGTTAGCAGCTGAGTTGTTAACCACTATACCACCAGGGCTCCACTCATTTATGTCCTACTTAGAAAATCTATTGGTGCATGTTTAACTTTTTCCAATTTCAAATATTTTAAACTAGGGATTCCCAAAGTATAGTCTGGCATTTTAGGTGGTATATGGTCTCCTTTTAATTTTTAATAATCATGTACTTATTTTTACAGTTATGGAGTATGATACTGGCTTCACATTTATGTGAATATTACAAAGTTTCCTCTTAAAATAAGCTTAACTTCAGTTTAAAAAAAAGTGAATTAATTTAAAGAAATGTTAAATAAACAGTAGTACAATTGACACTGGATAGGATAAAAATATGAAGGTGGGATATGAATATCTAATGTTTGAAAACTATAGTTCTAAACAATGTTTTGGTAAAGATTATTTTATATGAATCTTTTAAAATCTTTAATTTTTTCACAGGGAAGTATTTAAAACATACAACATTGCCATGGACTACATTACTGTTGCACTCCTGATCTGGAATTTTGGTGTGGTGGGGATGATTTCCATCCACTGGAAAGGTCCACTTCGACTCCAGCAGGCATATCTCATTATGATCAGTGCCCTCATGGCCCTGGTATTTATCAAGTACCTTCCTGAATGGACTGCGTGGCTCATCTTGGCTGTGATTTCAGTATATGGTAAAAACCCAGGACTGACATATTGTTTGTCACAGAAGTGCCTCACTGCTGTGTTTTTCTTCCTCTTTTAGTTATCTTGACTTAAGGAAAATGATGTAACAGAACTGACTTAAGGAAAATCATAACAGTTACAACCCATAGCCAATCATTAATAATTAGCTATATTATCTTTTTCATATAAACATTTCAAAAATTTGGAGATCTTAATGTTTTATTACTGTCCCCAGTTTAACTCAGTGATGGGTTACTGGAAGGAGCCATGGACTTCTGGTCAGAAGACTTGGATTCAAATCCCATCTCTACCACTATGACCTTCGGAAAGTGACTCAGGTTCTTTAAACTTTAGTTGCCAGTTTGTAAAATGTGAACAATGCTTCTCAGGGCTGGAAGAGTTCAGTATATTAAATCCGTGTTGAAAAGCATTAGCAGAGTGCTTGGCACATAAAATGCTCAATAAATATTTAAAATCAAATTAGGTTACCTACTTTTTATAAGGCAACTTGGGCAGAATTATTCTTTTGAAAACAAAGCTTGTTTGGGTAGTGTGAGATTCACATTCTTTAACAAACCAATGTGGCAGTGGTCCTAAACACTCAGAATGTACCCCAACTATGAATAACCCAGGCAGCTGTACAGGTATGTGCTCTGGATATCGGCCCTACATTTAGGCCAAAAAGAGGTCCATTCCCAGAGGTGAGTATATGGTCTGTGTATTGTGATAAGACAGTGCTCTTTTATCATTGTTCAGATGCTTTTTAAAATGTCACTTGACCAGTAGTAGGAAACCTTGTCATCCCCATTTGATTGACAGTCTATGGAAGTAGAATTGAACTGGTTCTGTCCTATTTGAGAAATAGGCAAAACTCTGTAGAACCAGAAGTCATATACTCTCTATGCCAAACTTCCATAATGGCCTTATGTTACATAATAAAAAACCACCAGAGTCCTACTGTCTGAAGATAAGTGCTATCATGTTTTCAGGAATTAATACACCAATTCTTGCTCTCCCTTCTCACACAGTATTTCACATAGATGGTATGTTTGTTTTTTTTTTTTTCAGGCAATACTATGTCACGGCTACATTCTGTCTGTATGTGTGTGTGTGCATGCTTGAATATATAGTTTAGAGAATACTTATCTATTATTGTATAGCTGCGATTAAGAATTCCAGTTCTGTAGACAGACTACCTGGGTTCAGTCCAGACTCTTCTATCACTTACTGCCTACATGGCTGCAGACAAGTTACTCGACCTCTAAGTCTCAGTTATTGCGAGGATTAAATTAAATAATACATGTAAAACATTTAGGACAGTATCTGTCAAAAAATGTCAGCTGGTTTTTTTTTTTTTTAATACAATATTGTGAAGTAAGCAAGGCAGTTATTATTCTTGTTTTACTGCTAACAAACCCAAGGTTTATAGAAGTAAATGATTTGCCCAAGCTTATATTGTTTGATCTAGAATCTGAATCCCAAGTCCAGTATTCTTTCTATTACACTACACTACTTCTTCCACACCTAAAACAAACAATTATCTCCACAGAGCTTTGAGTTCTTTAAAATAAGAGATTTTTATACCCAGTAATCAGTGATTTTCAACTCCATTTTATAAGGCCTCAAGATGTTTTAATATGTCACAAAGGTTTTGAAATTCTCAAAAAAAAATTAATTTTAATTTACTTTTATCTAAAAATAGAAGAGTTTCGAGCAGCCATCTAAGGTACAACTATTAGTCTGTACTCATCTGGAGCAAAAGATAATGAAAGAGACTAGAGACTCAAAGAAGAAACTAGTCCACAGGACTAACTGACCACACGAACCATGGCCTCTTCTAGCCTGAGATCAGAAGAACTAGATACTGCCTGGCTACCACCACCGTTCTGACCAGGGACACAATAAAAGGTCCTGGATATAATGGGGAAAAAATGTAGAACAAAATTCAAATTCCTAAAAAAAGGTCAGACTTAAACTGAACCGATAGAGAGTAGAGAAACCCCCAAGACGATTATCGTAAGATACCCTTTGAACTTGGAACTGAAGCTACTCCTGGAGGTCACGTTTCAGCCAACTAATAGATTGGCTTATAAAATAAACAATATCACCTGTGAGGAGTGTGCTTCCTTAAACAATCAACTATATGAGACCAAATGGTCAACATTTACCTGAAAGCAAAAACGAGAAGCCAGGGAGGGGCAGGGAAACTAGATCAATGGACAGAACAAACAGAACAGAAATAATGAGAATGCTGACACATTGTGAAAATTGTAACCAATGTCACAGAACAATATGTATAAAAATTGTTAAATGGGGACCTAATTTGCTATGTTAACTTTGGCCTAAAACACAATAAGATATTTTTAAAAATAAACACATAAAAATAAAAGTTTATCATTTAGCAATTCTGTAAAGAGGACTGTATCATAAAACCAAAATGATTACATGATGTGTTGAAAAATCTCAATATTTCAAAGCAAGGCAAATTTTCCACTTCTGATTCAAAATAAACTGTAAGTTGTGAGAGCAGAAATTGCTTTATGTGTGTAAGTGTGTGTTATTATCGCTGTTCAAGGAGACGTGACCACTTGGAAGTAAGAGGTTTTTAAATTAAATGCATCTGAATAACAGTTATGTCAACACAAGCTATTAAGTCTTCCTTTATAAGTTTAGCAACCCCTATTTTATATTTTTAAATATTGGAAGTTATTTTCTACATTTCTTTATTCTCAATTTTCATAACACTGAGAAAATGTTAGAAAAATTGCAGTTAATGGAAAGAGATGGTGGCAGATCAGAAGTAAGAATAACTTAGGCATATTGCTTCCTTCCTCTCTGAGTTGCTGTTTTTGTAAAGTAAGGTTGGCGTTATTTGCCATTTTCAGTACCACATGTGTTCTAAGACCTGAATATTTGTGAAGTACTTTTATTTGACAGGAGAACTAAAGAAATACTAAAATTTCTCATGCAAAGAGATATAAATTACCTTGTTTCATTTAAATTTTACTGCTCTCATATTTCAAGTGTTCCTGAGTAGTACATATACTATTCTTTTATTTTTTTATTTTAGCAAAATCTCTATTACATACGCCATTTTTAAAAAGGAGAAGGGGCTTATTTCTTCTATTCTGTTCTTTGTATTTGGGAAAATTCTATTAAATCTGCTCTATTAAGTTCCTCTCTGAGTAACTCTGTAGGTCGTAAGTATAATTTGTTTGGAAATGGCTTGTTCCCATTTCTGCTTGTTATAAGTTGACCACTGCTCTAGAATAGTTCTGTCTTGTCATTGTCTCTGCCTCCTTCCTTCAAACTGGTGAGAGCCCAGAGCTGATTCTCTGTAGACTAAGCAAATAACAGTCAAACTCAAAATAAAATTTCCACAGATCTTATATTACTGTGTGGTTTTGGTCCCCCCCCCCCACCGCCAGCCACAAGTTTACCTGCCATTTATTTCATATTCAACCTCTTTGTGTCCCCCTCCACCTCCCCTAAAAAAGCATTAAACCTTTTTCCCTTGATTAATTCCTCCCTAACACACCCATTTACATGTTTAGCCAGTACATTTTATTGAATGTCTTTTTTATTTTCTCTTTCTAGATTTAGTGGCTGTTTTGTGTCCAAAAGGTCCACTTCGTATGCTGGTTGAAACAGCTCAAGAGAGAAACGAAACTCTCTTTCCAGCTCTTATTTACTCCTGTAAGTATTTCAGAATGATGTTGAATTAGTAATCACCTTAGAATTTATAGGAACTCAAACATAGTTATGGCCATTATCATGGCACTTTTTCTCATCAGAAATGCATAGTAGCATTTATGCAGCACCTGCAAATCTCTTTGTTTCCTGCAAACTGTTGTCTTCTACCTGACATTGGTTCAACAGAGTTTTCAATATGGGTGAGAAGGGAAGAAATGTTTAGAGAATGGGGACCCAGTATCCCCATTTAAAATCTTATTAGTCAAGAGTTATGTAGCATTTGTGTATGTGTATATGTATATATATACACACATATATGTATGTATGTATATGTGTTTGTGTATATATGTATTTTTTTGCAGGTTATATATATATATATATATTTAGCAGGTGAATATTACCCTAGTTAATTGGAAGAGTTGTACTATTCCTTCAGCATGCGTTTACCATGTTTTTTGTTTCAGAGTTGTACTCTTCCTAGTCATTCAGTAAATATTTATTGAGCATAAGCCTAATCTACTTCTAGAACACTGTGGAGGACAAAAATATGATTAAGACACCTTACCCTCCCTCAGAGTCCATTTGCTTACAATTTGAGGTGAGATAAGTATATAAATAAGCAACATCCAAGGCAAAGTGTTTTCAGTTTCCTAAGAGGCACAGTCAAAGTGCAGGGAGAGTTCAAAAGAGGGAGATACCAAGTCTGGTTGGGGAACCAGTGAGGACTTCATGGACTAGACAGCAAATTTGGATTGAACCTCGGAAGGACAGGTAGGATTTCAACAAGCACAGGTGGAGGATACGTTTCCAAAAGTGGGCTCATTTTGAAGATTGGCTTGGAGTGGATATAAACACAAATATGAAAAGTTTTAAATCAGCTTTCTCAACTATTCTTTGAAAATACAATCCTTTTATGCATTTATAGACTCCCGGTTAAGGGTATTCCGTTTACAAAAGGATCTTATCTTCAGGATATGTGAGCATTTTTGTTTGTTCTCTATTTCTTTCTTACTGTCAGGGAAAATGCACACCTACTCTTTGGACTAGATCATTCTCCCATAGTAGTCACTAGCAGAGGTAGTCACCTCTGGTAGCTTATCTAAACATGAAGCTAACAATTGAGTAGATCATTTTATGTGAAGCTTTTCTTTGATTTCATATCAGTTGGGAGGGGTGTTAAAGCGTATTAGGTTTTTAATCTGCATATTTTCCTTTTGATCTAAGTTTTTTGGGTTTAAGGGTTAAGGGAAGTTGTTTTTAATATTAATAATAATAGTTTATTCAATAAATTATATTCTATTCATGATTTTGTACATCAGGAGTCAGCAAATTATTGCCTGTAGCCAAATCTGGACATGGCCTGTTTTTGTACAACCTGTGAGCTAAGAATGGTTTTTACATTTTTCAAGAGTTGCTTAAAAAAGAAGAATATGGGACAGAGACCAGATGTGACCCACAAAACCTGAAGTATTTGCCATATGGCCCTTTACAGAAAAAGTTTACTGACTCCTGATTTCTATATAATGTTAAATGTTAAAACAGCAGGGTTTGTAGCTATATTTTTTCCTTACTTGCATAAAGAAAGAAAAGCAAATACCTGTTGCCTTCATTGCCAAATCCATAAACCTTGTACATGGTGATTTTATCTGCCCTTTTCTTTCTCTTCTTTGTATTTGGATTCAGTTAAACAGTGTATTGCTCGCCTGGCTTTTACTGACTTTGATCATGTTAGTTGGGTTATCGTATAACGGAACTTGTTTGACTTCAAAAATTAAACAATGGTGAATGATCAAGTGTGGCTGTTGTAGAATTTCAGCCTCTTTGGTTGTGTGTTTCTTTCACAAGTTAATCAAGAAGCCTAAGAGTATTAGGAACATGGATAAAGCTATACAATCATAGTCATAAAAAGCCAGAGATACATAGATGCCAAATATCTTGTTTAAAATTACTTAATGTGACCAGATTGGACTCAGGCTACTGTTAATATTTGGTTCCTGCTATAGCCCTACATGGCACATGTTTACATGTAGTTTTGTATTATTGTTGGTGTATCTTTGGGATAAATTCTTTAAAGTGTAATTGCTGGGTCCAAGAATAAATACACATGTACTTACGCTAGATATTACCAAATTACCCTCCAAAAGACTTGTACTATTTTTCATTTCGACTTACATTGTATAAGAGAGAGTAGCACAATTTGAAAGTATTCACCTTGTCTCTTAACTAAAATGTGAGAGACTGAGAAAGAGGTTATGTAAGTCTATATGCTTGTATATATAGCTATATTGATATATATATGTATTTTTGTGGAAGGGACATAGAACAGACCAATGGACTGTCTGGTGTCTTTATGTTTATTGCATTTACTCTTCTTCTTTTTTTTCCTAACTCCTTGTATATAACAAAGTTTAGCATTGCTAAAAATCCCAGAAGTGAGACCTAATGTGAAGGAAACTGTGTGCGTCTTTAGAATTGTAATTGTTTGCTGAGGCTTTTGTGAACCCCAGCTTTGTCCTCAAATGTAATTCCAATTAATAATTTTCATCAATGAGTTCATATTACTTTAAGAGATTCAGCTAGTCCAGCTATTGTTGCAGTGGAGTCTGGCTAGCCTGAACAGTTTTCCTTCTGGTTACTTTTCAGGGACAGCATCATGATGATGAATAGTTTTGCTGTAGCAGCTGAAGTTTAAATGTTATAGTAAAATCTAGTTTCAGAATTTTTTCTTACCTGCCAATATAAAAAAAAATTTTTGGTTTTTAACATGCATTTACCTCTGGTTGTTAAGGATTCTTTTTTTTTTTTTTTTAATTGTTGTAGTTAAATGAAGTTTACATTTCAAGTTAGTCTCCCATACAAAAATTTATACATCTGTTGTTATGTGACCCTAATTGCTCTCCCCGTACTGTGGCAGCACAGTCCTCCCTTCCACCCCTGATTCCCCATGTCCATTCAACCAGCTCCTAACCCTCTCCGCCCTCCCATCTCGCCTCCGGACAGAAGCTGCCCGTTTGGTCTCTTGTATCTACTTAAGCTAAGAGGCACATTCCTCACCAGTATCACTTTATGTCCCACTGTCCAGTCCAATCTCTGTCTGAAGAGTTGGCCTTGGAAATTGTTTTAGTTCTGGGCTGATAGAGAATCTGGAGGCCATGCTTTCCGGGGTTCCTCCAGTCTCAGACCATTAAGTCTGGTCTTCTTACTAGAATTTGAGTTCTGCACCCCACCCTTCTCCTGTCCCATCAGGGACTCTCTTTTGTGGTCCCTGTCAGGGCAGTGATTTGTGGTAGCTGGGTACCATCTAGTTCTTCTGGTCAAAGGCTGATGAAGTCTCTCATTTATGTGGCCTTTTCTGTCTCTTGGACTAATACTTTGCTTGTGTCTTTGGTGTTCTTCGTTCTCCTTTATTCCAGGTAGTTGGGACCAGTTGATGCATCTTAGGTGGCTGCTTGCAAGCTTTTAAGACCCCAGATGCCACTAACCAAAGTAGGATGCAGAACAGTTTCTTAATAAGCTTTGTTATGCCAGTTGACCTAGATGTCCCCTGAAAGCATGGTCCCCAGACCCCTACCTCTGCTACTCTGTCCCTCAAAGTGTTTGACTGTATTCAGGAAACTTCCTAGCTTTGGTTTAGTCCAGTTGTGCTGACTTCCCCTGTAGTGAATGCTGTCCTTTCCTTCACCTAAGATAATTCTTATCTACTATCTAGTTAGTAAATAACCCTTGCCCCCGCTTTCCATCATCCTAACCATCAAAGAATGTTTTCTTCTGTGTTTAAACCTTTTCTTGAGTTCTTATAATAGTGGTCTTATACAACAGTTGTCCTTCTGCGATGAGTTAATTCACTCAGCATAATGCCCTCCTGATTCCTCCATGGTATAGGATGTCTCACAGCTTCATTGTTGTTCTGTATCGTTGCCTACTATTCCATTGTGTGGATATACCATAATTTGTTTATCCGTTCGTCTGTTGATGGGCGCCTGGGTTGTTTCCATCTTTTTGCTGTTGTGAACAGTGCTTCAATGAACACGGGTGTGCGTGTATCTATTTGTGTGACGGCTCTTATTTCTCTAGGATATATTCCAAGGAGCGGGATAGCTGGATCGTATGGTACTTCTATTTCTAGC